TTTGTGATGGAAAAGCCTCCCAGAGCTGATTAAAGCCAGGCCCTGATTGCTGGAAGTGCTGAGGTGTTTTCATCCCTCTCCCTGCTTGCCCCAAAGACAGAGCCCCTTCCCCACCCGCCCTTCCTTGTCTTCTGAAAAACTGGAGCAGCTGCCCTGGGCCGGTGGAAGGATTTCTCCCTTTGCTGCTTAGCCAAAGGCCAGAGACAGACAGGGAGCTGAGCTGCAGCTGCTTCCGACGTGATAATGATGCCGGTCCCCTGGCCCTCCCACTCAGACCAAGGGCTTTCATAACCCTGTGGGGAGCTGCTGTCACTCCTGTGGTTTGGGAAGTGGCTCCTTGGGGCCTCTTGCTGGGAACTTGGGCTGGGCTCCTCCAGGCGGGGCAGAAATCGGTTGGGTTCTGCCCTGCCCCGGAGGAGTCAGGGAGGAGGTGGAGGAACTGTTTGGATCTGGAAGAGAGCATGAACATCATCTCCCACAGGGTCTGGGGGAGAGGGTGGGTGAGCTGGCACCTCCCTCCACCTTATTCTGTGGCTGGCCAAGCCTTCCCTGACCCTGAAAGGAGTCTCTGGGCCCCATCTCCTAGGGAGGAGGGCAGCAGGCAGACTAATGTGATTGGCTGGCTGGGAAGCTAGGGTACTGGGGCCCCTGACTGCTGTGAGTCGGGGAACTGGATTCCTCTTCCTGTCAAGCAGCTCTCACGGATGGGAGGCCTGAGTTGGGAATCTGGGAGGCCCCACAGCTCTTTGTGATGAATCTAGTAGTTTCCAGAGCCAGGGAGCAAGATGTTTTTGAGGGACTGGGGCAGGGAGGTAGGAGAGTTCCTCTTTGTGAAGAGATTAGGGTGGTCTACACGAGTGTGTATGAGGGGGAGTTTTTCAGAATAGGCAAGTCCTTCTCCTCGAGGCCTGCGCTGTGAGTGGCCTGCGGTCAGAGTTGTGAGGGACCTCCAAGAACTCCAGCAGTCTAAGCCCTTGCACAGCAGAGGCTGAGGCCCAAGAAAGGAGGGGAAAATTCCAACTGCACGGCACTGACCAGAACGCCTTAAAGCCGGGGGTGAGATGTATGCTGCCAGCCGTGATGTTCTGCAAGTTAGGGCTGGGCTTCTCGTGTCTGGATATAGGGGAGGGTGGCCACCTTCCCTCAGTGAGGACCTCACACACTCTAGTTGCCTCTTGCTCCCATGGAGGCTGGATGCTATTGGTTACCAGGGCAAGTCTCTGTGCCTTACTTCTGGCTCTAGCCCAGGTTTTTTTCTGTAGGGTTCCCTAAAAAACCTGGGACTGACACCTAGGTCATGGGACAAAGAGAGGGACGGTTGTTGCTGGGGTCCTGGAAGAGGTTGGGTGGGGCTGACATTTCTACCTCATTGAGGAGTCAAACCCATGAGTTCCTTCCTGAGATAAAACAATGAAGAAATCCTCATGTGTGCAACTCGGAAATGCAACTCAGGCCAGCACTGGGAACCCCAGACAGATGGGCTGGGGTTGGGGCTCCTAGCCTCCTCCTAAGACCTCTCATTGGTTATGTAGGTTTGGGCAGGTTCCTCAGGGGTCATCTGGATTCATCCTGTTTGGCTTGGCCTCCCTGTCTTGAGACAGGACCCACCCCTGATGTCCCACAAAGGGGCTGTGGGTGGGGTTGGGTAACCTCCCCTTTGAGGAACCTCAGGAGTGCCTTATTCGCATTCTGTCTCCTTAAGAGACCCGCCTGAGATGCAGGGATGGGGAGGGACGGGCATGATGACAGTGAAGACAGCCCTCTTTCTGAAGTCCTTAGCTTAGAATCGCCTTCAACTCCCGCTGGCCTCAAACTCGGGAGGACCAGGAGGGATGTCATGTCATTCCAGCGGCCAGTGATGATGAATGGATGCTCGAGTAACCGCCCCTAGCTCTTGCCTGCCCTGAGCTCCCCATTCCACGGTGCCAACCCCTGCAGCCAGAGGCAGAACTGTGGATCTTCTGTCAGTCTCACCCCTTTTGCCAGCCACTGACTCCATGCTCATTCCCCAATCCCCAGGAATGGGAGGTGCTGGTCCTGGGCAAGCTCAAGTGGGACCTAGCTGCTGTGATCGCACACGATTTCCTGGCTCTGATTCTGCACCGCCTCTCTCTGCCCAGTGACCGACTGGCCTTGGTCAAAAAGCATGCCCAGACCTTTTTGGCCCTCTGTGCTACAGGTAAGAGCCTTGGACACATGCTTTTCCAATCTGAGAAAATCAGGATTTGAAGAAGTAGTAACCAGGAGATTGTTTCAATACTCAGAGCTATTTATATAGTATCTTGGTGATCCTGGGATGGAGGTGAGGCACTGTACAGTGAGAAGTGACTTGCCTAAGGTCTCCATCCCAGGGTTTTGGGCACTCTAGTTCCTGACAAGGTCCAGCCTGGGTAGATGGAAATTTTGCTGTCCACTCAGATCTCAGAGAAGGTTGGGTGGGGTAGAGCGGTTCACTGATGGTGTGCATGCCTCAGTCAATTGCCAGCACCATGCACACACTCCAAGCCCTCCCCTTGGCTCCGAGACACCCCACCCACCACTGGGGGTTCCCAGTATGCTGTATTCAAGCAACCTGGCATGTTATAACAGGGACTAGGAAGTATAAGATAGCTCTTCTCATGGTCCCCTCTCTTTTACAAGATTACACCTTTGCAATGTATCCTCCATCCATGATTGCTACGGGCAGCATTGGGGCTGCTGTGCAAGGCCTAGGTGCCTGTTCTATGTCTGGAGATGAGCTCACAGAGTTGCTGGCAGGAATCACAGGCACCGAAGTGGTAAGTCTCAGGTCCCATTCACAAAAAGCAGTGCTATCCCTTGAATCCCCAGAAGAGGGTGGCATCCACCCCCACCCCACCCCACCCCCGATTGTACAACCTTGCCTGCTTCTGTGGCCTTTCATCTCCTGCCTCTGGAGAGGACTGGGTGGGGTGAAGGACACTTCATGGAGCTGCCCCTCTCTCGCCAGGGGCGGGGGACTTGGTGTCAGATGCAGGGCTGCTCTCACACCCTTGCCACATCCTCTTGCCAGTTTCTGAGAACTAAAAACTCGATTCCTGGGCTGGGCTGTGGCCTAACCTCCCCAGACTTCCCGGTGTGCAGGGGGGTGGCCTGTCCTTACACCTGCCTGTTGTCACTGACTTTGTTGTTCTTCCTAGGACTGCCTGCGGGCCTGTCAGGAGCAGATCGAAGCCGCGCTCAGGGAGAGCCTCAGGGAAGCTGCCCAGACGGCCCCCAGCCCTGTGCCCAAAGCCCCCCGGGGCTCTAGCAGCCAGGGGTCCAGTCAGACCAGTACACCCACAGATGTCACTGCCATCCACCTGTAGCTTGGGACAGGCCCCCTCAGGTGGCCACCAAGCAGAGGAGGGGTCACTGCCACCCCCTCCCTTCCTCTTGGAACAATCCATGCCATATCTGAAGCCAGAGGGGGGCCCTTCCCCTCACAAAGCCCAAGGGGCCAGGTCCTGCCTATCCCCACAGTGTGCACTAAGGGGCTGGTTGGCCATGAGGGCTCTGCATGGCCAGTCAGCTCCTCCTCCTTCCCACCTGACCAGCTTGGCTGTTCTGGGCCATGCTGGTCAGAGAAATTCAAACAGGTAAAATCCATGCACCAGCATTCCTTTTTGAGTCCCTCCTCTCCCTGGGGCTCTAATCTTCTCAATTGCCAAAATGCCCCAGTACCTTCCAAAGGTGCTGCTCCTGCCAGGGTCAGTGCGTTTGGATTTGGGTCCTTCAGGCATCCTGATAGACACGCATGAAGAGCCAAATAGATGGCTGCCGTATAATCCATGCTCCCAGCTGCTCTTAGAGGGAACAGCCTAGGCCTTGGTCAGAGGGGCAAGAACCTACAAATTCTAGCTTTGCTTCCTGCTTAGCTTCTGTAATTGAAGGGTCTTGAGGGGTGCTGGTGGTCATTTTAATTTATTGCTTTGAATACAACTGTAAGAGGGTACAGTGAGGCCTGTACCCCACAAGCGGTGGTAACCCTGGAGGTTGCTATTTTCTTCCCCTCTGCTACTGCTTTGTGGTCCAGGAGCTGCTACAGCCTGGGTTGGGGCCATGCCTTCCTCTCCTGAGGCTCTGCACCTCATCTTCCAGCAGAGAGTGTAGGCAGGGATGGATGCTCTGGAGGTGACAGAGCCTATCTGGAGAGGTCAAGCCCTGTTGACACAGGTCTTTCCTTAGGCCACAAGGTTTGGGCTGGTGGCCCATTTCTATCATGCTGCCTTAATAAAGATTCCGGAATAAAGCTGGCTTTGGCTCTTGCAGTCCCTGGGATTGTGTGTAGAGGTGGGGGAGTGGGGAGGTGTGTGTGTGTGTGGGGGGTCATGAGTCAGCTAGACCTGTGCACTTCTACAGATTATGGTATAAAGAGTAGCCACCATACCCAAGGACTAATGGGAAAACAGGGCTGGTCAGCTTTATCTGGAACAAACATTTTGTTATACTGCGGCATGGCGGTCTATTCCTGCAATTTTCAGTAGTACTCAAAGGGAGAGGAATACGTTCTAGGCTAGCTTGTGCTACATGGCAAAGTTCTGCCCCAAAAAACACATGGTTCAGCAGCTGAGAGCCACCGGCTACCCCGAGAACCTGGAATTGACCACGACCACTCTAGTCTCAGGGGGTCTGATAGCATGCAGGCACCATGCTTGTATACGTTAAAACAGCTATGAACGGGGTAGAGTGTGTCTGAAAACACTTCCCCTGCTTCCCATCCTCAGTACTGCAGAGAGGCAAACTGCTGGAGATGTAACACGGGGTGTGATTTGGCTTGGCTGAGTTAGGTGTCGTTTTCTTTGCATTTACCTATTGTTTCCAAGATAAACTAAGAGTGTAAACAAATGTGAATGTCTTAATAGACTGAAACTTTCCAGATACATGAACTGGATTGTAACAGGTGAACCTTCTCCAGAGCAAAAGTGATACACAGGATGACTTGGAGTCAGTCAGCTGTGATGTAAGTGGGTGGGACATGGATGTGTTCCCCCATTTTTGGGGGGGGGGGGCAATGGGATAGGTTTTCACTGTATAGCTAGTCCTGACTGGCCTCAAACTCAGATCCATGCCTGGCTGCAACTAACATTTCATACAGATTTCCCCAAGCCATGAAAACAAATGAAGATTGTTCTTTGCTCATCAGCAAACAACAGGCATTGGACCCTGGTCTGTCAAGCAACCTAGAGCTCTCGGTGCTCAGAAAGCAGGACCTTTTCTGACTTACTGCTGTCTCGTCCTCGAGAAAGGGCCTGCCCCTGCCATGCAGTCTTCCCTGCAGTGACGGCGGCTACCACCTTTTCCATGGACTGCTGCTCTATGGCAGCAGCAGCTGCTGTCCCCCAAGGAGCCCATCAACATGTCACGTCAATGGTAGGCGGCTCGCACACACTTCCTCTTTGTGGAGAGCAAGGGAAAAGGCTAGAGAGACACTTGAGAAATAAGGGGTAGAGTGAGGGGTCTGTGGGACTAAGAACCCACTTCTCAGAACTGGGAACAGGAAAGAGCTTCGGGCGACTCCCACCTCTAGCCATGGGGCAGGCAGGCACCTCCAGCGACTGTACCAAACACAGAGCTCCAATAAATAACTGCCCTGCTTTATCTGCAACCCAGTGAGCTGACAGGGACTGCAGAGCAGCCATAGACCAAGTGCCAGCTGGGTTGTGAGGATGCTGAACTGGGGTAACTCTAGTGAGCTTCTGGAAGTGAGCAGGGACCAAAGCCTAGAACGGCAGAGAGCCAACCAGATCAGCCTGCCCAGGACCGACACCACAGGTGCCACCCAACCTCAGTGCCTTGACCCAGGTCTTTACATCCTGGGTAACCAGCTGGGGTCTTGGTGTCCTCCCAAGCCCCCTGGACCACGGCAGGTGACTGTTCTCATTCCATGGTGACGGGAACATCCTCCACATCTCTGGGGACTGCACTCTGAAGCTCACGCCTGATTTCAGGAGACAACTGGGGGTGGGGCTGCAGTCGAAGCAGTTCCAGGAGGGCCTCCTTCTGGTCCGTGGCCAAGTCGGCCTTGTAGCGCTGTGCCAACGTCAGAAGGCACTGGTGCCAGAGCACGGGCAGCTGGCGCTTCTCCGTTCGGAAGCTCAGAAAATGGAAGACCAGGGCGTCTAGCACCCGGTAGGGCAACGCGTACTTCTTATCTAGCAGCAGGCGCAGGAAAATGCTGTTGGCGCCGCTATACTCCATCTCAGCAATCTTCAGCATGGCCGCACTAGGAGAGAAGGTGGAGCCAGAGATGCTGGAGAAAGTCTTCTCCCCAGACTGACCCTTACCTACAGCCTTCCCAACGGCGTCACCACAGCTCCCCATCTACCCACTATGACACTCCTGGGATTCTCTGCACCATCTCTCCACAGCCAGCCCACACCTCCACCTCTGGCTTGGAGAGCCAGCAATCCCTATATTCAACCACAGAGTGCGTCCGAATGTCTCACCACCGCCACCTTTCATCACTTTCTTCCTTGCTATCCATTCACTCACGCCATCATTCAATTATTTCCTGAACACGTACTACGTGCCAGGCCCTAGGATCCTGCGCTTGAAGACCTTCTATGCTATTGGAGTATCATACACGCCTTTAGGTAACCACAGCTCATTCTCCACTCTTGCCCAAGCCCTGGCCTCTCCTCCTCCACCTCACCAACACTACCTGGAGTGCAACACCGGAATGGAGCACTTGGTGATGATGCTGCCCACGATGATGGCTTCTCGGAGGGTACAAGTGCCAGACTCGCACAGTGGGATCAGGATTCCTAGGCAGAGTCACACACAGTGACCTTTCAGTCTGCGGTGAGGGAGACGAAGCAGTCCTAGCCACCCCACCACCTAAGGATCACCAGTGGACCACAGCCACGTGCCACCCCACCACCTAAGGACCACCAGTGGACCACAGCCACCCGCCCAGCCGCTGACCCCCCTTCTCGCTCCCCTACTAGTGGGTTTTCACCTTTGAACCACGCTCCAGGCTTGAACAGGGCCTTCTTGAGTGCCATGTAGAGGTGAAAGTTGAGCCGTTTGTACTCAGCGATGTCATCGCGTACTCGGGGGAGCAGGACAAGGTTGTAGAAACGCTGGGCCATTCGTTCCTTCAGGTTAGAGGCAAAAATCCTGGCGGGGTGGGGGTTTCCGAGTCATAAAAGTGTCTGGCCCTTTAACTCTCCCGGTGGATGGTACATGTGAGACATTTTCTAGTTCAGAGAGGGGTGTGTGGGAAACGTGTATTCCACACCCTGGTCAGCTTAAAGAGGAAACACGTGGCAACATAGGATGCCCCCAAATCAGAGCAGTACGGTCTCTCTGGTGTTTTGTTTTGATTTTGATTTTCTGTCTGTGTGTGTGGACTGCATGTATGTCTGCACCACATATGTGCCTGGTACCCATGGATGCCAGAGGAGAAATCTAATTTCCTGGAGTTAGAGATGGTCGAGAGCCACCACGTGGGTGTTGGGAGCCCAGGGCTTCTAGAAGGACAAGTGCTATTAACCACTGAGCCACCTCTCCGGACCCTAGTGTTTTCCTTAAAGGTGCTGGTGCTTGAACCCATGGCCTTCTGTGGATGAAGCGAGGCACCTCGAGCTGCTGCCCCAGTCCAGTCTTTGCTGGCTCCTCAGCTACTTGCTCTCCTTCCCCATCACAAGGGATCCGAGCTCACCCAGAGAATCAGAATTCTCAAGCTACTCTCCCACACCAGGGCTGTGTCCTGGAAGCTATATAAGCCCTCCCCATAGAAGTCTACTATAGGACTCTGCCCTGAAATGCAAGAGGAGAAGTTAGGGACCAATAGGAGCAAGTCCAAGGGGGAGGAGGTCCATGGGCCCACCAATGGGATGGCTAAGAGAGGCAGAGCCCGCACAGCCACCCCTGCCCCTGCCCCACGGCACAGCCACCCCTACCCCACAGCACAGCCACGCCAGCCCATCTACACTACCTGGTGGCTTGATACATGGCAGCTGCTGTCCAGGCCTCGGGCTCAGTGACATAGAGGATTTGCTCCCAGTTGGACAGTGCAGGGATGATCTTAAAAGCTTTGGGCAGTTTCCCACTTCGGTACTTGGATAACACCTGGGGATGAGGGAGGCAAAACCCTCAGCACCCAGGGCTGAGGTCCTGGCCCGTGGCTGGCTTTTTACACGCTGCCTCACTTACCTTCAGAACAATCCCCAAAAGGCTCATTTTTCAGGTGACCAGTTTTGTGACTTCCAGGCAAGAGGCAGCGCAAGAACCTGAGCCCACCAGTTCTGCCTCAGTCACGTACCATGTGTGACAGCCCTCCTGTTAGGATAGCCCACCACACATGCCCTCAGAGCCCTTACCTCCCGAACTCCTCTGTAGACCTCCAGGACTCGGGGATCCAGCTGAGGCATAGGGAAGCCCGACACCTCTGACATGACCGTCTCCACCTCTGTCTGCTTCTCAGTCAGCTTCTCCATGATGATGTCAGCCAGAGTGCGCCTATGGAGACGGAAGGGAGAAGGATGAGGAGCTAGGGTCACTTTCCAGGAAGCTTTAAAGTCCCCTCACCCTGTTCATGGAAGGAACGAAGGAGGGAGGGAGGGAGGGAGGAAGGAGGGTAGGCAGGCAGCCGTGGGGGCACAAGCCTATAATCCCAACACCCAGGAGGCAGGCAGATCTCTGAGTTTAAGGCCAGTGTGGTGGTCTTCATAGGGAATTCCAAGTCAGCCGGGACTATACAGCGAGATCCTGTCTCAAAGGAAAAAAAGAGAGGTACAAAACAGGCCCAAACAAAACAGGAATGCTTCAAACTTGCATGTCCCCCTGCACAGGGCCACGCTGGTCTCTGCTATTGTTTCAGTGTTAGCACAAGAGCGGCTAGAAGTGAGCAACGTACAATTCCTCTGGACGCTGACAAACTGGGATCCTGCTGGGATCCTGCCTCAGCTCCCTCTATGTCCAATTAGCCACCACAAGCTGCTGCAGAGAGCGAAGGACCTGAGTTTCACCGCACTTAAGTAAGACAAAGCTAGCAGTGGTTGGTTAGTTAGGTCCTTGGACTCTGTGGTCAGTTCTAGTCAGGCATCACTCTGCTGTCCCCTGTGTGATCTTGGGCCTGTCACTTTACCCCTCTATGCCTCCCTTAGTTTCCTAGCTGGAAAGTGGTGACAGCAGTAGGAATAGCTTGTCCGGTCAACGACAGGGTTAAATGACAGACTGCTGTGGACCACTCAGAACTGTCAGTCTGGAGTCACTACGGATCAAAGGCTGCCTCCTCCAAATCTGGAGTTTTCCTTCCGCCTTGAAGTGAGCTCAGGGATTGAACTCACATCACCAGGCTTGTGTAACAAGCATGCTTCGCCCACTGAGCCATCTTGCTGCCTTCCCATCTTCAGCCTCTTTAAGGCTGGAGAGACTTCTCAGTGGTTAAGAGCACTCACTGCTCTTGCAGAGGACCTGGGTTCAGTTCGCATCATATACACAGTGGCTGTAACGCCTGTTCTCGCTCTTCTGACCTTCATGGGCACCGGGAATGCACATACAGGCAAAATACTCATCACATAAAGTAAGATGAAGAAATCAAAACATAAAACTTTAACATAATTACCACCATAGCAGGTTATAGTCTGCTAATGGCATCTTCAGAATTCACTGATGTGTACTTAAAATTGCCCCTCAGTTGGGAGTGTCACTTAGTGATTAGCACACAGGAGACCCTGGGTTTTAGCCTCCAGCATGGCAGGAAGTCAGGTGGCGGTGTCCGGACTTTCCAATCTGTGTCCTGTGGTCTGCAGGACACTGATGGGAGGCACTTTTTTTCCTTTGTTTTTTGTTTGTTTGTTTCTTTTTTTTTTTGAGACAGGGTTTCTCTCGGTAGCACTGGCTGTCCTGGAGCTAGCTCTGTAGACCAGGCTAGCCCAAACTCAAGAGATGCAGCTGCCTTTGCCTTCCGAGTGCTGGGATTAAAGGCGTGTGCGCCGCTGCAGCTGATGTGAGGTACTCTTATTTTCAGACACAGACACGGGGCCTGAGACTCAGAAGTTAACAACCTACCTAAGGCCTTACGGCTTTATTGGGGAAAGGGTGAACTTTCAGTCTTTCAACCTCTAGTTTGGGTGCTTCACAGTACCTCCAATGTGCCCCAGATTATGTGGCCTGATGGCTGTGTTCCCAAAGACCTTGGCCTGGTTTCTGAAGATGCCAGCAGCAAGTGCTCAGAGTTCCCTGAGTCCCTTCTTCTACTGTCCTGTCACTTACAGCATCTGCAGAAACCCATTTGTTTGTCCGAACATGAAAGAGCAGGTATGAGGTGGGCCCGAGAGCCCTCTGGGGACAGGCACACGGCCCAGATCCACACTTTGTGACCTCTATTGGAGTTGTCAGACACCCATGTGGGAGGGCGCTTCTCTCCATTCCACATACTCAAGCCACTCATCCCTTAGTCCCTCATCATTCCACAGTCATGACAAGAGACGTGCCACACCACACTCTGAAGGACTAAGGACGGCCCCATGTCATGCAGGGGTAGGTGACACTGGCTGAGGGCCCTTTGCCCTAAAATCACTCCCCTCCACTGGGCCAGACACATCTGCCCAGCATCTGCCCTCAGGCAATCTAAATACCCGCAGGGTTTAGAAGCAGCATTTAAACTAGATGGGGATGAATCTGTGCTTCTCCCCGGAGGCAGTTTACCCCTCTGGTGATATTTAGCAATCCCTGGGATAATTTTTCATTATCACTACTGGTGTCGAGAGGAGAGATATAAGAGACAGCGGCTAAAGGTCCTTAGGTTCTAGTAACCCAGCCAAAATGTGGGTACGGAGACTGAAAGCCCTACATTTAAGGAAGCTGAAGATCTGAGAGCGACATACCAAGAACAAACCCAACAGAATGGACCCCAGATATAAAAAGGAACCAGGTAACCCAGGAAGTTCTACATCAGATGGACATAAGGGGGAGAAACTTAGAGTCTGGGTCACACCCACTCAGAAGGTTTGGTCAGGTGGTATTTTTACAGCTGGCAATGCTCAGACCAAAAGCTGGCCAGGGAACTTACCAGCCTGTGGGAACTTTCTACCAGGGTCCACTGTCCCAACTCTGGAGCCCTACCTGATGGGAGGGTTCTTGTTCATGAACATTTCAATGGCGCGTTCATCCTCAGGGTCTACAACCACCTCTGCTTGGTAGTCTACCCCAGTCATTTTGGCTGCCTTCTCCAGGGTGGGCCACTCCTCATCCTCATCATCGGATCCATCCTGTGGCACTCCGGGCCCTAAAGAGGGAAGATAAAATGGTAAGCATGGAGGGCAGTGGCTTCTGCGTCAGTCCACTTCCGCCAGGTACTGCACGCCCAGGGTGTCAGAGACACACATGTGCGCAAGGAAGGAGCAGAGTTACAAACGATCTTTCTGCTCCCAGAGACTTGGAATCTTGGGGGATAAAATACAACAAATGAAACAGACAGAGTGATGCTGGTAAATAATGGTTGACATGCCATCCCCAGGGACCTAGAAGGATCCGTTCTAGTACACACGTAAAACCTGGTTAGTCCAGCTAACCCCAAGAAACAGACACTATCACTGTACCCAGTTCAAACGGGACAGGAAAATTGATGTGTCCACAGCGGGCAGTTTGCCCTGACGGTGCCTTCTACCCCACCATGCTGCCTGCACAGCAGAGTTGTATCATGTGCTCAAACTAAACCATGGGAGAGTATGTACCACAAGAACTTAGATTAGTACAGAGGGTGATGAGGCTTTGGATGGGCAATTTGGGAGCAAGAGTGTGTCTCATATCAGAGAAAGGGACTTTAATGTTATTAGAATTAAAGAGCCAGAGCCAGAAACAGGACCATAGGGCCCGAAAGGAAAAGTACAGCCAACCTGGAAGGCCCCAGGGCTAGGCAGTAGTGTTCAGTCTCTAATCAACCAATACACAAGTTACTGACTTGTAGCAGGCTTTCTTGGACCATCAGCCCCCAAACCATGACACGGAGACTTATTATTAACCAGGAATGCTCAGCCTTAGCTTTAGACTTGTTTCTAGCTAGTCTTAACCACCTAGCAGTGGCGGCGCACGCCTTTAATCCCAGCACTCGGGAGGCAGAGCCAGGCGGATCTCTGTGAGTTCGAGGCCAGCCTGGTCTATAGAACAAGATCCAGGACAGGCACCAAAGCTACCCAGAGAATCAACCCATTTCTATTAACCTATGTGCTGCCCTGAGGCTTGTTTACCTCATCTATGTATTGCCCACCCTGCTTTCCTGTTTCCTCCATGACTGGCCTATGGCAGGTTAGCCTTTTCTCTCTCTGAGCCCCAGACTCTCCTATCCCTCCTCTGCCCAGCTATTGGCTGTTTAGCTTTTTATTAGACCAATCAGGTGCCTTAGGCAGGCAAGGTGAAACAGCAACACATCTTTACATAGTTAAACAAATGCAGTATACACAAATGTAACACATTTTTACATAGTTAAACAAATACTCTATTCCACAATACTGACGTATGTAGTCAAGGATGACCTGGAATTCCTTGTTCTCCTGTCTCCACCTCCCAATTGTCAAAATTACAAACATGTACCACAAATGCCTAACATTGATCCGCCCCCCTTTTTTTTGGAGAGAGAGAGAGAGAGAGAGAGAGAGAGAGAGAGAGAGAGAGAGAGAGAGAGACTGATCATGTAGCTTTGGCTGGCATGGAACTTGCTCAAACTCACAGAAATCTGCCCGGCTTTTAAAACACCACATATATCTGGCAAAGCCCCTAGAAAGAGTCTAATAAACCAAAGAAGTTGAAATATTGCATAACTGCAGGTCATTTGTAACAGAATTGGACTAAGGGGTATACACAGCTCAGGAGAGTATGCAGAGCTCATCCAGTGAGAACAAGTATTATTATTGTTTTTCTTTAAATTTTGTTTTAGATTTATATATATTATTTTATCTGTATGCCTGTGCATCACAAGTGTGCCTGGTGCCCAAAGAGGTCAGAAGAGTGCATATGATCTCTTGGAATTGGAGTTAGAGATAGCTGTGGTCTGCCACATGAATACTGGGAACCAAACTCTGGTCTTCTGCAAGAACAAATGCTCTTTTTATTTTTCTTGGTTTTTCAAGACAGGGTTTCTTTATGTATCCCTGGCTGACTGGAAATGTAGACCAGGCTGGCCTTGAATTTGGAGATCTGCTTGCTTCTGCCTCCCAAGTGCTGGAATTAAAGGCGAGTGCCACCACCGCCTGGCTGAGAACGAAGTGTTAAGATCTGAGGACCAATTATTGAGAGTTTTGCTCTGCTCTCTGCACGCATCATGGTATGCTGCACATGCACACAAAATAAATAAATGTTAAAAAAAAACAAAAGAAGATAAGTGTTACGAAACAAACAGGGCAGAGATGCATGTGGACATCTGTGGGGTAGGTATTTTAGTTTTCGTATGTGTGTGCACACTTACATCACATGTGCAGCAGAGGTGACTCTTCAGTGGTATTCCTCAGGATCTGATGACCTCGTTTTTTTGAGATAGGGTCTGGCTGGGACTTGGGTTAGCTGATTAGGCTTGACTGGATGCCTGGTGAGCCCAGGAGATCTGTCTTCAACTCCCTAGCTCTGGGATTACAGGCTGCTGTGCACTGAAGTCAGAGCCTCCTGCTTTCAAAGCTTGTATTTGACCAACTGAATTATCTCATCACCTCCCTAGCCAACAGCAGAAACAGACCAAACAGGGTGCCGTTGATCTCTAGCTGTTGAACGGACCACAGAGGCTACAGAACACAAATTATGACGATACCACAGTGATTCAGGGGAGAGACCTTGGTCGCTTAAACAGGTGGATGTTTCAAGTTAATGGAAACTGATCCGGTTCTGGATATATTCTGAAGACAAAGTCATGAGGGTTTCCTGACAAATCAGATGTAGAGTGAGAAAGAGGAGCCCAAGATTCTGTTTTGAGCAAGGGAAGGCTAGTGTGCTAACAGACTCCATGGAGCAAGCAGAGAGACGTCAGGTAGACAGTTGGATATAAGGATGTCAGGTTACTGGACGAGCTATGGGAGAAAAAGCTGGGAGTACTCATCAAATAGACAGCTTCGAACTGGGGTCTGCTGACAGCAGCACAGGAGGATCAAAAGCCCAGGCCTGCCTTGGTCACAGCGTAAGTTCAAGTCCAGCATGAGCAACTTAAGGAGACACAGTATCATAATTAAATTTTTTTTTTTCTTTTAAGGGAAGGTATGGTATCAAACATGTATAATGCCACCACCTGGAAAGCAGAGGCAAAACCAGTAGTTCAAGGTTATCCTCACCTACAAACGGGGTTTAAGGCCATCCTGGGCATGAGACCCTACATCAAAACACCCAAAAGAAAGCAGGTAAAACTACTGTGGTCCTATGGCCATATTCAACTATCTCAATACTGCTTTTAGGACAAATAAGAATGAAAGACTAAGCAACTGGAGGTCAACATAGTTCCTCCCCAATGAGACAAGTATCAAGCGCTTTCCCACTCATCTGTGCCGCCCACCCCGACCTCCACCCCCCGCGCTTCTAAACAATACTGCTTTCTTTCCTCCGTTACTGGAACATTTCCCATTTGCTTTTCAGATCTTAGTTAGAAAGGCACGAAACATGGGAAACCTGTCCTGTAGAATTAATGGCGGGTTTTTTTTTTTGTTTTGAATAGGAATATATTCATTTTCTCTCACGCTCTTGCGTGACAGGACTATACCATGTAGGTAGCTCAGGCTGTTCTGGAACTTACTATGTAGCCCAAGAGGGCCTTCTTTTGCCTTAGCTTCTCGAGTGCTGGGATTACAGGTGAGCACCGCCGCTCCTGGCTGGAATATATTACTTCATTACCTATTTAATGTTCTCTGCCTTGGGACACACTTCCAGTGCTAAAAGCAGGGACGAGTATCTTGTTTATTTCGGTATCAGAACTACCTAAACTCTTAGCGCTGTTAAAAGCTTTACGCAGGGAGCCAACAAATACTTCACAAGCCCAGAGAATAAATATTAGAAGTTGATGTAAGCGATCACTTCCTGTTGGCTTAACTCTGAGGTTCCAGAAGCCAGGAGTGGAAGTGAAGGACCACGCGGGAAAGAAAAGCTGCCTCTTCTTTTTAATTCCAAACTAGTATCCGGATGGACTGCGTTAACCCGGCCCAACCCACCACTCCACCCCTTGTCACTCACCCAGCCGCGTGGCGCGCTCTCGTGGTTTTGCAGGCTGGTGTCCAGTCCCGTGTTCAGTCTCGAGCTCCTCTTGCTGCTGCCGGGCTTGCTGCAAAATCCGTCTGCTCAACCGGGGTCCCACATACTCTTCCTCCTCTTCGACCCCGCGTCCCCGCCGTTTGTCTCGGGTCCCCGCGCGCACTGCGTTCCCAGCCAGAATCTGCTCGGCCAGAGGTGCATGCTTCTCCTGATTCCCGGCCCCACGGGGCACCTTTAATTTGGGCATTTTTCTCGAAAAACTTGCCCACAAGGTCTACACGTGGGAAGCCGGCTTAAAGCAAAGACTGCGCTTGCGCCTTGTATTCCGGTGTCCAGGAGGTCACCGAGAGATCACAGCGCCTCCCAGCGTTCGGAGGCCGGAAGTTCCTCATATACCGCCATCTCTCGAAGATCTCCGGGGCCTGGAGCTGGACTCCCCAAATTCTCAGGTATTTTCATTGTCTGGAAGAGGTGGACGTCGAGTCACCGTCTCCAGAATTCATGAATGTAACGTAAATTGTCCTGTCAAAGCAAAGCGCGCCTTGGGGGCGGAGCCGGATCGATGACGTATTAGAGGAGGTCACCGCCGGGGTGGTCGGACACGCCCCTTTCCTGTGGGCGCGCCGCCCTGGCGCTCAGTTTTTGCGTATTTCCGGAGCCCGTTCCACGCCTGCATCCTGCTTTAGGTGGCTACACCTGCCGTGGGCCTCTGGATTCTCTGAGTGGAGTGTTTGGAAGTGCCACCTTTTTGACCCTACGCCATGGGAGTGACTTGGTAGGAATGCAAGGGTTTCTGTGGGGCGGAGCTTGGGGTCGCGAAGGCGCCTGTAAGCCTGTAGTGGCCCGGAGAGGGGGATTCGGACCGAGATTCTCCGTTCCTCGCGGGCTGCAAAGCTGTCTTCGGGTCGTGTGGAGCAAGGGACACCGTGTGGTGCTTCTTCCTTCCCAGACGCATCCCTTTGCAAAAGCGAGCGCTTCATCCCGAGAACCTGCCAGGAATTGTACCTTCTTTTTCTTGGTACTTCTTCCCATCCGTGAGGCATTTGTACCGTAGGACCCAAAAGTTGGAAATAGGGTTTCTGGACTAGGAATTATTTGCAGGCAGGGATGAAAAAGGGCGCAAGGAGAAAGTGACTTTTACATTTTGCTTGCAGTGATAGCAGCCTGGCTTTAATTTGGCCGCTTTAAGATACTGGGTCTAGTGTCAGAGGGAGGGGAGAGGGAACTGTTGAGGGTTTGGAGATCGGGTCCCAGGCACGTTAACAATTCAGGAACCACTTCCTATATGTTTGAGTCAGTTTTTATTGACTTTTTTTTATCTCAAACATGTTTTAAATCTCACTTGGAAAAAGAGGTGGTTGGTAACGTCTGCATGCTGTGCTTTCCTGGGCATTAATTACAAAGCACGAGGTCTCAGCACGTTAAAAAATCTCGGGAGTGGTGTGCATCTTCCCAGTTAGAGATGCCTGGATGCCAGGGTTCGTCAAGTTACGGGCCACAGGTTTGTTCAGTGAAAGGTGCGTGTGAGAAGTTGTTCAGGTAGCCTAGGCTCTTGCAGGCTTTTTACGTGCTCCACAGTTGACACCAGGAGCCTCATCTCAGCCTCATCACACTGTAAAGAGTGCCTGTCGGCGATGAAAATGGAAATCACAGTAGAGTCTCTGAGCCCTAGAATCCGCCATCCCCCATCTTTATGTGTGCTTTTACGGGCGTGTAGGACAGGTGCTCTGTAACTTCCGATCACCTGCCTCTGCTCCTGCGTCCTGGGATTACAGGAGTGCTCCACCAATGCCTGCCTGCCTTGGGTTCGTTGTACAGAGAAGGTAGTCCCTGGGAAAAGGGTTCCCCTACCTACTAGTATCCGTTCAACTTTCTCAGAATCCCAGAATTTCTGTCACAGTGTCAGTTTAGCGATTCCCTTCTGTTTCATATATTGCTTATTGGTGCTTTTTTCAAACAGAGTACAGGTTTTGGTAACAGTAGGGTTCCCACTTAATAGATTTATCTAACTGATTGATTGTAAAGTAAAACAAAACACAGTAGTTTGGAAAAAGTCATGACTTTCTCATACAGTTAAGTACCATCTGTGCTATTATTTATTTACTGTTCATACAGTAGATCTCAGCCAAGTGTGCTCCTCTAATTCCAGCACATGGGAGGCCGAGCAGGAGAAGGCAAGTGTGAGGTCAGCTGGGGCTCATGTAGTGAATTCCAGATGAGCAATGACTGCAGTGTGAGTTCTCGGGCTCCAAAAGTCTCTTTAGATCCATTTTAGCAGACTCTACCTTGCCAGTCAATGTGGCTCACGCCTTTGATCCCAGTACTCAGGTAGCAGAGGCAGGCAGATTTCTGAGTTCAAGGCCAGCCTTGAACTTGGTCTACAAATTGAGTTCCAGGACAGCCAGGGCTACACAGAGCAACCCTGTCCTGAAAAACCAAATAAATAAATAAATAAGTAAATAAAATTTAATAAATATTAGCAGGCCATGACATCCCTAGAGGCAGTGTAGGAGAATGGGTAAAGAGTGTAGATGAGGCACTCGGGAGGCAGAGGCAGGGGCAGGTGGATCTCGTGTGAGTTCCAGGACAGCTGGGTCTACATAGAGAAACCCTGCCTCAACAAAAAATAAAGAAACAAACAAAACAACAAAAAAAAGCACAGAGGAGGAGCCAGGTTGCATGGCGTTGAATCTTGATGATACTGTCCATTAAGTGTATGACCTTGTCCAGGTCGTTTAGTCTTCGTGATTTCAGTTTCCCCATTTGCAGTAAGTTGATACAGGACAGGACCTTTAGAAGGTTCAGTCACTCCATCTGAAGGGGCACACCTTGGATCCCAGCACTTGGGAGGCAGAGGCAGGCAGATTTTTGTGAATTGGGAGGCTAGCCTGGGCTACATAATGAGTTCCAGGATAGCCAGAGCTACATAGTGAGACCCTGTCTTAAAAATAGAAAGAGACAGAAAGAAAGAAAGAAGGAATCCATCAGAAGGCCTACAGTTCTTGCACAGAGCTGGTGCTTGACAGTAATTGCCACGGGGAAGCTGCTCCTTGGGGAAGCTACATCATAAGGTGAAAACCTGGGAAACAATTGAAGTTCTTGAAACGACTGTTGAGCCTCTTTTTCTAGGCTGATGCACTTGAGGGCTGCTTTCTCTTGGTTCTTGGTGCTGTTAAATGGGACTCTTTGATAGTGGGAAAGCTCTGGGCACAATGTCTAGAGCACAGTCTGCCAGCTGCCTGTGGCTCAGTCCTGACAGAAGCAACTTCTGGTAGAGTTTATGTTGACTCACTATTTGGGCCCAAATAGCAGGAAGTGGCTGGTCACATTGTGTCCTTAGTCAGGAGGAGGGGCCCGTCCTGCTCAGCTGTTTATCCACTCCTGGTTTAGTTAAATATAGACTCTCAACAGACTTAGTCAGGAGTCTAGGTCTCAGCTGGGCCGTGGTGGTGCACGCCTTTAATCCCAGCACTTGGGAGGCAGAGCCAGGCGGATCTCTGTGAGTTTGAGGCCAGCCTGGTCTACAGAGGAAGATCCAGGACAGGCACCAAAACTACACAGAGAAACCCTGTCTCGAAAAAACAAAAACAAAACAAAATGGGGGAAAAAAAAGAGCTAGGTCTCAGCCAAGTGTACACCTGTAATTCCAGCACCTGGGAGGCTGAGACAGGATTGCTAAAAGACTGAGGTCAACTTGGGCTAATGTAGCTAACTCCAGATCAGCTTTGGCTGTACGGAGACCCTGTCTCTAACAAATAATCAGTGATTCTAGGTTCTCTCAGCTTGGCAGCATACACCATCAATCACAATCACTGTACAACTCAGTGGTACTTAATGTGTGCAATGTGTATCACCTAGAATCATCACTTAAATGTTGGTACACATGCCTTACTTGGGGAATGCTGATGTGGTAGAAAACTTAATGTGCCCCCCCCCCCCCCCTTGTGAGACACTTGAGACGTGTGCTCTCCTTGTTAGAGGAACCCTTGGGAACTGTGGGCCTCTTCCTTTCTCAGGTTTAAGGGGCAGGGATCAGAGTTAGTGTTGTCTAAAGTAATTCCTAGCCCTGTTGATCTGTTACCTGTTTGGGAAGTGGCTGAGCCAGAACATATCTGTCTCTGGACACTGCTGACTTGGTGTTGTGTTTTTCAGTGTGTCCCAGATGCCTGTGGCTGAGGGCAGGAGTGTCCAGCAGACAGTGGAGCTCCTCACCAGGAAATTGGAGATGCTTGGGGCAGAGAAACAAGGAACATTTTGTGTGGACTGTGAGACTTACCACACAGCTGCCTCCACCCTCGGTGGCCAAGGTGAGTAGATGGCTGTGAGCGGGTGGTTTGATGCTGGCTTGGAATCCCACACATATTTTTATTCATTGGCATCTGTTTGCCATGGCCACATTGCAGTTTGGACCTACTTGTTTGTTGAATTAAAAATTTGTTTTTATTTTTAATTGTGTGTGTGTGTGTGTGTGCGTGTGTGCGTGTGTGCTCGAGAGTGTGTACACTCCTGTATGTGGATATGTGCACGTGAGTGAAGGTGCCTATGGAGGCTAATGGTGTCAGATCCCCTTGAGCCAGAGTTACAGGTGGTTGTGAGCCACCTGGTATGGGTGCTGGGAACTGAACTTGGATTCAAGGCCAGCCTGGGCTAGAGAGTGAGAGGGAAAACAAATTGTCTACAACACCCGGAAGTGCTTTCTTCATTAAAGAATAGTGTTGGGGCTGGGGCGATGGCTCATCAGTTGAGAGCACTGGCTGTTCTTCTAGAGGACCCAGGTTTGATTCCCAGCGCCCACATGGCAGAACAACCACTTGGAACTCCAGTCCTAGGGGATCCAGTGCCCAGTGCCCTCTGTGGACATCTGGGGTGCAAGTGGCGCACTAAAATACACGAATGCAAAACAGCTGTACGCATAAAATAAAACATTAAAAACAGTGTCCTAAGAGGTGATGTCATGGCTCAGTGGTAGCGCACTCGCCAAGCATGTGTAAGGCCCTGGGTTCAGTCCCCAGCAATCCCCCTTTCTACTCACACAAAGTCCTTAGTTGCTTTTTAAAAATTTCAAGGCAGTGCAGCTTCATGTAGTACGAATCAGATATGTAATTCCAGTGTATAGACCTGAGAACAGAATAGGATCAACTTTGAGTGGCTCTGCGGACTGACATGCCATTAACTGGATTTTAAAAAGGTGAAAGGTGAATTGGCAGTGCAGACTGAGGAATGGGTGCTGGAGGCTCAGTGCAGAGCCGGCTAAGCTCAGCAGGGGGCAGCAGAGAGGCCAGTGCACTACAGGGAAGGCACTGAACTCCCGACCTCCTGCCGGCTTTCCCTCTCCATTACTAACATTTTAAACAAGGGATTTGTTTACTTTATTTATTTTGTTTGTTTTTTTTCGAAACAGGGTCTCACTGTGTAGCCCCGGCTGTTCTGGAACTCACTCTGTAGACCAGGATGGCCTTGAACTCACAGAGATCTGCCTGCCTCTGCCTCCCAAGTGCTGAGATAAAGAAGTACACCACTATACCCAGCTTTATTTTGTTTATGTAGATGGGTGCCCATGGAGGCCAGAAGGGAGTGTAGGATCCCTTGGAGCTGAAGTTCCAGGCACTTGTGGGCAACCCGGTGTGGGTGCCGAGATCTGCCCTCTAGTCTCCTGACAGAACAGTCAGTGATGAGAACCATCGAGCCATCTTGACGGCTTCTTGTTATACTCTTTTCCCTGCTGGAATACCACCTTTCCTGCTGCCCCGTGGGGTGGAAGTACTTCTTCCACAGCCTCCTTCAAGTCCTGTTTTTCCTTTGATCTTTTCTTATGCTAAAGTCTTAGATTTCTGGTCCCTTTCAGGTAGTCACTCTTTTTAAAATTTTATTTTGTATTAGTTAATTAGTTAGGTTTTTTGAGATAAGGTCTTATGTAGCTCAGGCTAGCTTTGAACTTGCTTTGTAGCTGATGACCTTGTGTTTCTGATCCTCCTGCTTCTACCTTTCTAGTACTGGGATCTGAGGTGTACATTCAGATTATGTGGTGCTGGGATTAGAACCCAGGTCTTCATGCATGCTAGGCAAGGACTATCATTACCAGACCCTTTTTATTCATTCATTTGTTCATTTAGTGGGTGGGGGTGTGGGGGGTGTGGGTGTGTGTGTGTGCGCACATGGGCTCACGAGCTTGAGCACCATGGCATGGGTATGAAATTCAAAAGCAGCTTTCTGGAGCCTGTGTTCTCCTCCCGTCATGTGGATCCCAGGGATCAGACTTAATTTATCAGGCTTAGCAGCAGGCACCTTTACCTCTGACCCATCACTAGCCTTATTTGTGTGTGTGGTTTTTGTTTCGTTTTGGTGTTTGTGGGGGGCATGCACTGGAGTGTGGGTTTAAGAGGTTGTGCGTGTGCACCCCTGTGAAGGCTAGAGGAGGACATTGGATGTGGGGTGCTTTCTTCTCTGCTCTGTCGATTGCCTCGAGACAGGACTGTAGCTAGAGTTTTCCTGCCTGGCCCACAGTCAGGACAAATCTCTCTCACCCGCCAGTCCCAAGCCGCTCAAACCCGACCAAGTAAACACAGAGACTTATATTGGTTACAAACTGTATGGCCGTGACAGGCTTCTTGCTAACTGTTCTTACAGCTTAAATTAACCCATTTCTATTAATCTATACCTTGCCACGTGGCTTGTGGCTTACTGGTACTTTACATCTTCCTTGTCCTGATGGCGGCTGGCAGTGTCTCCCCACTCAGCCTTCCACTTCCCAGCTCTATTCTCCTCCTTGTCCCGCCTATACTTCCTGCCTGGCCACGGGCCAATCAGTGATTTATTTATTGACCAATCAGCAACACATTTGACATACAGACCATCCCACAGTACTTCCCCTTTTCTTTTCTTAAAAAGGAAGGTTTTAACCTTTACATATCTCCAAAGTCAGCTTGGTATATTTGGGAATTTGGGCGTAGCTTTTCTTACTACTTCCTGCTGGAGGAGGGCGCTGTATCTTATGGGGACACAAAGAATATTTTAGGATTATGGAGTAGTCCATGAGGGTGTATCGTCTGAGCCAGTTGCCTTGAAACGGTTCTGGATGTTGGATCATCTGGGCCTTGGTGTCACCTTTCAGGGGGTCTTGGCTGGTCAAACCTGATGTATCTTAATCTGGAACAAATCCATAGTCTCTGGCTTTCTGTGGGAACAAAAGAGACTCTTTTCCAAAGCAACATATCCTTACATCTAAATTTTGAAGTCAAGGTACCTTTAAAATATACATTTTGGCATAACTCAACAGCTTTTGTAATCAAATGTTTTTCTTCAGTTACGAATATCAAAGAGAACATAATCCAGATTCTCTGTGTAATATTCATCTTTACGTGGCTTATTTTTTATATTAATTTTACTGTCTCTTTAAAGACTTTATTTTTTAAAACTATGTATTTGTTTATATAACTGTATATATCACCATATATTACCTTTTTTGTCTCTTTCAAGCCTACGTATATATATATATTTTACATACATTGTAAACTATTACATCTAAATCTGTCTTATTGTGAATCTATTGCTTTAAACTGTAGCAGCTGTGGCTGTTGGCTCCGCCCACCTCAGCTTCCCAACATGGCGGCGGTATGCTTACCGCCAGCTCTGGGAGCCATCGTGGGTCTATGTTTTTATCCAAGCAGCGTGTAGCCCAGAAACCTCTTTTTTTTTTTTGTTTTGTACTAGCAAAGGCTAAATCCATCAAGCAGCTTAATGTGCCATTTGCAGAGGCCTCATTTCCGCCATACCGCAGGTCGAGCGCGCACGCTAGGAACCCGCCAGTAGCTCAAACCAGCAGCTGTCGCTCATTTGAGAGAGACAATTAGGAACTGTTTTTAGCTCCGTTTTAGAATCTTTTCTCAGGTTTTAGGTGGAAACTCTTGCCACCACGTTGGGCACCATTTGTAGCTAGAGTTTTCCTGCCTGACCCACAGTCAGGACAAATCTCTCTCACCCGCCAGTCCCACAACCGCTCAGACCCAACCAAGTAAACACAGAGACTTATATTGCTTACAAACTGTATGGCTGTGGCAGGCTTCTTGCTAACTGTTCTTACAGCTTAAATTAATCCATTTTTATTAATCTATACCTTGCCACGTGGCTTGTGGCTTACCGGTACTTTACATCTTCCTTGTCCTGATGGCGGCTGGCAGTGTCTCCCCACTCAGCCTTCCACTTCCCAGCTCTATTCTCCTCCTTGTCCCGCCTATACTTCCTGCCTGGCCACGGGCCAATCAGTGATTTATTTATTGACCAATCAGCAACACATTTGACATACAGACCATCCCACAGTACAGGACCTCTCCCTGAGCTGGAAGCTGGACATTTTGGATAACTGACTGTCCAGTGGATCTCAGGATCCACCTCTCTCTGCTCCCGACACTGGGATCACAGACATGTACAGCCTTCCAGGTTTTTTACCTGGGTGCTGAGGATTAGAAATTAGGTCATCACTGAGCTATCTTCCCAGCCCCCAGTCCCATTTTTCAAAGTAGATTTGTGCATCTGTTTATCTATATTTTTACTTCATGTGTGTATATGTGTATATACGTGCACCCGAACAAGGAGGTAGAGGTCAGAGGACAACTTGCAGGCGTTGGGGCTCTCCCACCATCTCCCAGAGATCACACTCAGGTTGTCAGGATTGGCAACAAGAGCCTTAACCTATTGAGTTGTCTTCCTGGCCCTCTTTATCTTTTCCAGATAGGGTCTTGCTGTGTAGCCCAAACTTGGGACAGTTATACTGCCCAAGCCTCTTGAGTGCACAGAGCTACCATATTGTGTTTATTTATTTATTTTGTCGCTCTCCGCACCCTCAGCCTCAGCCTTCCAGTGCTAGGATTACAGACTTGAGCCACCTTTTTAAAGTTTTTTTTGGAGGGGTGGGCGGGGTTGGGGGTGGGGCGTGGTGGTGGTGGTTGGCAAAATGGTAAAGGTGCTTGCCACTGAGTCTGACACTTGAATTTTATCCCCAGGACCTACATGGTGGAAGGAGAGATCAGACTCTCCCAAGTGCTCTCCTCTGAATCATACACATGCCATGACACATGTGTGCCCCTGCCCCGTGACATAAATGTAAATTAAATAAATAAAAGGCTTTAGGGGGCTAGGGAGATGGCCTCATTGGTAAACTTCTTGTCTTGTAAGCATGAGAGTTGGAGTTTGGATCCCTAGAACCCACTTTAAAAGTTGGGTTCAAGCCAGGCATGGTGGTGCATACCTTTAATCCCAGCACTGGGGAGGCAGAGGAAGGCGGAGCTCTGTGAGTTTGAGGCCAGCCTGGTCTGCATAATGGGTTCTAGGACAGAGTTCCAGCCAGAGCTACATAGTGAGGCACTGTCTCAAAAAAAGGTGAGTGCAGCAGCAGCAGCAGCACATTGTTGTCATCCCAGAGCTGGGGAGGTAGAGATGAGGAGGATCCCTGGGGTTTGCTGGCCTGATAGCCTTGCTCTGGGTTCAGTGAGAGCCCCATCTCCAAACGTAAGATGGTGGCCCCCACTCATGCACATGCAGATAGCACTAATTGGGCTTAGTGCGTTCTTAAGAACAAAGTAGGCAAGGACATGCAGTTGGAGGAGCAGGCAGGGTTTGAAGATGGATGGTTTTGAGTGGATAGTAAGTATTTCAAATTGTGGCCATCTGCTCTCTTGTAGTGTGTGAAGGAGAATTTTGGGTTCAATGTTTTGCCTTCTTCCAAGTCCTGTATAAAAAAATATATACATAGCTCTCCCTCTTTGGAGAAAGCCTGTAGAAAAGCAGATAAGAAGGTTCAGCAGGAGGCCGGGCGGTGATGGCACACGCCTTTAATCCAGCACTCGGGAGGCAGAGCCAGGCGGATCTCTTGAGTTCGAGGCCAGCCTGGGCTACATAGAGGGTTCCAGACTGTCCAGAGATACATAGTTAATCCCCCATCTTTGAAGAAAAAGCATCTAGAAAACCAGTAGAATCAGTGAGTGAGCCGGGGCTGTTCAGTGGGGAGCGCCAGCCTAGCGTGTGCAAAACTCAGGGGTCTAGCTCTGTAGCCCAGTACCACAAAGTAAGCAACAAGGAAATCAAGCCAGCTTTGGTAGCACACTCCGGTAATTCCAGCATTAGGGAGTTACAGCCACATTCCAGACCTTTCTGGGTTATGTAACAAGACCCTATTTCAAAAAACCAAATCAAGCCAAGTGGTGGCACACGCCTTTAATCCTAGCACTCGGGAGGTAGAGGCAGTGTAATCTCTGAGTTCAAGGCCAGCCAGGCCACACAGGTGAACCCTGTCTCTCAAAACAGAAGAAGATAAAAAGGGAGGTGGTGGTGCTGGAGAGATGAGCGTTCAGAGCGCTGGCTGCTCTTCCAGAGGACCTGGCATCCGCATGGCAGCTCACAACTGTCTGCAGCTCCAGTTCCAGGGCTTCTGACACCCTCACACCACATACGTGCAAAACACCAATAAACAGGGCTGGAGAGGTGGCTCAGAGGGTAAGAGCACTGGCTGCTCTTCCAGAGGTCCTGAGTTCAATTCCCAGCACCCACATGGTGGCTCACAACCATCTGTAATAAGATCTGGTGCCCTCTTCTGGTGTGCAGGCAGAACACTGTATACATCATAAATAATAAATCTTTAAAAAAAAAACCCCAATAAACGTAAAATAAAAGTAAATTTAAAAAAAGAAAAGAAAAAACCAAACCAAATCTAACCAACTAAAACAATAGTACATAATGAGGAAGCAGAGACTAGAAAGGGGCTTGAAAGTACAGCTTCCGTTCCCAGAGCCCAGGTTCCTTCGTAGTGTACTTGCTTTCCTAGCTGTCTCCCCAACACCTGCAAGCTTTTGTCCTTACCTGCAGGAGGCACTGCCAGCTTTTGAAGGCATGGCAGATAAAACTTAACTCAACTTGGCTGTTGCCTGCCTGCTGTGCTAGCCTAACGTTCACAGGCTTCCTATTCCAGAGCCTCCGCAGGAGCATTTCGATTTCTTCTCTGTGTAACAGCCCTACCTGTCCTGCAACTCTCTTTGTAGACCAGGCTGGCCTCGAACTCAGGGAGCTCTGCCTGCCTCTGCTTCCTGAGTGCTGGAATAAAGGCGTGCACCACCATGCCCAGTAAACATGTACAGTTCAAAGGAGGCATTTGCTGAGGTTGAGAGATATGCCAGATGTTGTTACTTCTGTTTTACTTTTATGTTTGACGTTCTGGGGCTGGAACTTAGGGCTAGGCCAGTATTTATTGCCAAGCAACACCACCAGCCCTTAGTTTTATTTATGACAGATGATAATCTAGAAAAGAGTCTCTGTATGGCTTACTAATCATGATGATAAAGTAGCCATCTGCGAGCTCACCACACAACTGTTCTCGACACCCTGAGACTCCCCGGGTACTCTTCAGGTGGGTTTAGCCCCTGTTGTCTGGCTGGCTTTTCCAGTTACCTAGCTTCTCTGGAGAAGGGCAGCTTTTAAGGATCCTTCCCCTTCTCAGACTGCCAGGGTACCAACTGCTGGCTGGCCTTGTTTGGTGCCCTTGACTATCCTGGGGTGAGTTGACAGAAGTCCTGATCGTGAGTGGGCCGTCTGTCCCTTGCAGGCCAGGCCGGGAAGCTGATGTACGTGATGCACAACTCTGAGTACCCGCTGAGCTGCTTTGCCCTCTTTGAGAACGGCCCTTGTCTGGTTGCTGACACCAACTTCGATGTGCTCATGGTGAAGCTCAAGGGTTTCTTCCAGAGTGCCAAGGCCAGCAAGATCGAGACCCGGGGCACTCGCTACCAGTACTGTGACTTCCTGGTGAAGGTGGGCACGGTCACAATGGGGCCCAGTGCCCGTGGCATCTCTGTGGAGGTAAGACCTTGGTGAAGGACAAGTGGACTATGCTATGGGCTGCACAACAGGGGTTCTAGAAGTTTCCCAGGGCCTGCTTGGTTCAGACTATTCAGTATCTATCTTGCCTCTACTACAGGGGTCTTTTGTTTGGGGTCGGGGCAGACTCATGTCTCAGGCCTTGAACTTACTTTGTACCCAAGCTTGATAAATTTATGGTCCTCCTGCTTCTGCCCCCAAGCACTGAGATTTCAGGAGTGTACCATTATGCCCAGCTTCTTTCTTCTGTTGTTTGTTTGTTTAAGACAGTCTCATTTGGCTTGAACTCTAATTCTTGTGCCATCACCTCTGAGTGCTGGGATTATAGATGTATTTCACCATGCCTGGTTTGTGTGGTGCTGAAGGTGCAGAGCAGGCCTTGGTGCTTGAGAGGGGAGAGAGGGAGAAAGGGAGAGAAGGGGGGAGAGAGGGAGTCAGTCTTAGCCTGTAATGTAGCCTGCTCTTGAATTCATGCAATCCTTATATCTCAGCCTACAAAGTGCTGGGATTATAAGAGTGAGCCACCATGTTTCCCTAAGAGATTTTTTAGATTTATTTTTTATTTTGTGTGTGTTGGTATTTTGCCTGTGTGTATGTCTGTGTACCACGTGTGCAGTGCCTACAGAGGCTAGAAGAAGGCATTTGATTGATGCCCTGGAATTGGAGTCAAAGGCTTTTTTTTTTTTTTGGTTTTTCAAGACAGGGTTTCTCTGTGTAGCTTTGCGCCTTTCCTGGAACTCACTTGGTAGCCCAGGCTGGCCTCGAACTCACAGAGATCCGCCTGGCTCTGCCTCCTGAGTGCTGGGATTAAAGGCGTGCGCCACCACCGCCTGGCTGCGCCACCACCGCCCGGCGAGTCAAAGGCTTTTTAAAGTTGTTAGTCACCATGTGGGTGCTAGGAACCAACTCCACTCTCAAGAGCAACATTCAATCTCTGGCCTAGGGTTGAAGTGGGTTCACGGCAAGTAAAAAGCTTAGCAAGACTCACTTGCAGAAAATTGAAGCCATAGTCAGGAAAGCAGAGGATAGGATATAGAGACACCAACCACCCTTCCCAAGAAGGGCCAGAGTGGACAGCTTTCTGAGGGGTGTGTGGGAGGTGGGATGTCAGTCATGTGCCTCTGTACCTCTCCTTGTCTTATGAGAGGTGTCCAGAGCTGTGGAACCTTTCCTTCTGGCATGAATATGCATATGAGATGCCTTCATCCAGTTGGTTTTTTAGTCAAAAAGATTGCTCCATTTATTTATTGTAGGTGTAGGTGTACATGTGCACAGCACATGAGTGGAGATCAGAGCGATCAGTTCTTTCTTCTTACCATGTGGGTCCTGGGGATCGAACTCAGGTTATCAGGTTTGATGGCAAGCATCTTTATTGGCTGGTAGCCTTCATCTTTGACCCTAAATATATAGGTGTTGAAAGTGGCATATGGGGAGTGTGGCAGTAGATAGCTTTCCAAATGAAAGTCCACAGCCTGTCGTGTGTCCAGCATTAACTGAGGTTTTAAAAAACAAAATAAAACAAGATATAAGCTTGCAGGGCCTATCTTTTGAAATGTGTCATTTAGTAATCAAGCAAAGCTGAAACACAAACTTCTTTGAAGCTAGTTTTGAAATACCAGCCGGGCAGTGGTGACACACACCTTTAATCCCAGCACTCGGGAGGCAGAGGCTGGCGAGTCTCTTGAGTTCAAGGCCAACCTGCTCTATGAAGCAAGTTCCAGGACAGCCAGCACTGCACAGAGAAACCCTGTCTTGAAAAAAACAAAAACAAAAATCCCCTGAAAGGCATTTGGCGTAGGGAATCAGGCTGTTGAGAGTCCTGCAGACTGTAGTTTCCTGTAGAGCATGTAGAAAATAAGGATTCCCAAGGCTGGTGCATGCCTCCTGTCTCAGCACTTAGGGGGTGGAGGCCAGAGGATTCTGAGTTTGAGGCTAGCTTGGCTACATAACAAGTTCAAGGCCAGCTTGAGCTACACAGTTAAATCCTGTCACAGAGTAAGAACCAGAGGAAAGTGATTCTGGGGAGCATCCCTGGTAGAGAAATTACCCTAGTGGCAGTTTCTTTTCAGGAACCTCCAGGACCAAGATTCTGTAGTCTTTTCAATGTGTAACTCTGAATGGTAGCAGTGGTAGGAGGAGGGAGAGAAGCAAGCCTGGTCCTTGTCCTTACCCTTGCTGTCTTCTTCTGTCCCAGGTGGAGTATGGCCCTTGTGTGGTGGCTAGTGACTGCTGGAGCCTCCTGCTTGAGTTCCTACAGAGTTTTCTAGGTAGCCACACGCCAGGGGCCCCCACAGTATTTGGGAACAGACATGATGCTGTGTATGGGCCAGCAGATACCATGATACAGTACATGGAACTCTTCAACAAGATTCGAAAACAGCAGCAAGTGCCCGTGGCTGGCATCCGTTAGTGACTGGCAGCTGCCCACCTGCTGAGCTGTCACCAGGGTACTGCCCAGGAGGAGCAGGTGCTGCACTCGGGGTCCTGGGGCTCTGGACCCCCCTCCTGACCTATTTCAGCTGTTTGTTACTTCACGCCTTAACTGGATTTGGCTTGTCCTCAAGGATGGTAATTGTGAAGAATGGAGAAGCTTGGGCCTTTCCTGCTGTAGGGTATCGGCAGGACAGGGTGGTCCCTGCCAGCTCTGAAGGTGAAGACTGTCTGTGACCCCAGCTCCCGAGGATTTGGTATAGGCCACAGTGGCCACACTCTGCTGTACTGTGGCTGTACTGGGTGGAAGCCCCTGCTTGAGGACGTGGCTGGCCTCTCCTGGAGATGGTTGGGTGGCGTGACTGGATTGCTCTCGCTTTCTGGCTATTGGCCGTAGTGATGGCGAACAGAACTGAGTCTGCTCGAGTGTTGCTTTCATCCTTTGAACTCTGATGGCCTCCCTTTCTGTTTTGAAGTGTGTGAACCCATAGGCTAGGCTGCTACAGCAACACCAAAGCGTGGGCTCTTCCTGCACATTTTATCTTTTCTTACCCAATAGTTCAGAGGCAGTCAGTTCCCCAGGGCGAATTAACTGTAGGGTTAGCACAAACTAGGCTTCTTACATCTTATTGGTGGGTCACCCCAGTAATGTTTTCCTTACCACAGGATCTGCGCGCACTCATTAGCTCCATATTCACAGTCCACTGGGAAGAGAGAGAGAAGGGAGGTTCCTGCCAGAGTTGCTCACATCACTTTGTCTAGGATCTCCTGCTGTGCTTCACACGTTGTCTTCTTGTCAAACGTGAGCCTTGAAGTTACTCATTGATACCACTGCTTACCTACCTCACCCCTGCCACAGAAACAGTTAACCAGGCTAACATTTGAGATGCACATAGATAGGCTTGGGAAAATGGTTAGTATACAGAGTGTAGGTGTCACTGAGGAGTCTGTCCTCAAGTCCGCTAAGCAGACGTCCCAGCGCATGTCTTACATACTGCAGCTGCCAGGCGCTGCTCACACTTACCCTAGCTCTGGCTGTAGGGTCTGTTATCCACGTTGCTCACTGTTCCTTTCCCTCGCTTTTGTTGTTAGTTAATGTTTGTTCGTTTTGTTTCTGCACTTTAAAAATTGAGGTATGTTTTAGGTATCACAATAAAATCTACAAATACTACATTTGGGCCGTCTATGTTTGGTCTTGTTGCAGTCTCTTTACTTTGTACTCTCTATAGGTTGCCTCAGATCTTCTGTGGGTGAGACAATGTGCAGGCAGAATTTTGAACATACGTACTCCTGAAAACACAGCTGTTAAATGCAGTAAACATGGACTCCTGGCACGTACATAAGAAGGGGCCCAGTTCTTAGAAGATAAAGAGAAGCGTGTGCAATCAACATCTTGTTAGTTGTAGTTGGCTTACTTGCACATTCCCAGTGTTCTTTATTTTGGTGTTTTGGTTTTTTTAAAGATTTTTGTTTTTAATTATTTGTGTGTGTGTGTGTGTGTGTGTGTGTGTGTGTGTGTGTGTGTGTGTGTGTGTGCGCGCGCGCGCTCCACACCACGCCCGCCAGGCCATGCGCACGGTGCCCTTAGGAGCCAGAAGGAGGCATCCGATTCCCTGGTTGGTGTTCCAGGCAGACGTGGGTGCTGGGAACTGGGTCAGGTCTTCTGTAGGAGCGGCAAGCACTCTTAACTACTGGGCTTTCTCTTCAGTCTTTTCACTCTGCTCTTTTCCATTTGAACTCAGGTTTGACTAGCTTTAAACCTAGTGACATGAGATGAAGCTTGAAGAATGGCCACATGAGTGCTTTGCTTTGTCCTTGTCACTTAATGGGAGCATGGCACTGAAAGAACCTGCCTCAGCAGAACCCGATAATGGAGCGGGTGATGGCTCTGCTGGCAGAGCACAGGACTGAACTGTGACTGGTGGGAAGACCGTGTGTCATCTGGCCACCATGTGCAAATCTGGATGCGGCTTCTTGGAATACTGTGGGACACAGCTGTCATCACGTAACTGCTTGAAAGTTCCAGTTGTGTACACGTTGGGATTATTTGTATAAATTTAAGGGAAAGAGGGATGATTATCATTTTATAAATACTAGAATCTGGGGCTTCTTATTCAGCCAGACTTGCTGGCCAGCAAGCCTCAGGAATCTGCTGCGATTACACACGTATTCCTCCACACTTGCCTTTTTACCTGGCTGCTGGGGACTGGACTCAGGTCCTCGTGTGCCCGGCAAGCACCTCACTGACAGAGCTATCTCCTCAGTTCCAAGGCAGAGTCTTTGTTTTTCTTTCTTTTTTTTTTTTTTTTTCTTTTTTGAGACAGGGTTTCTCTGTGTAGTTTTGGTGCCTGTCCTGGATCTCACTCTGTAGAACAGGCTGGACTCGAACTCATGGAGATCCGTCTGGCTCTGCATCCCGAGTGCTGAGATTAAAGGTGAGCACCACTGCTGCCTGGCTAAAGATTCTTGATTTTCTTGCATTCTGTTTCATTTTCCAACATAGCTATTCCAGGCCCTATAGTACAGGCTAACTTTAAAATATTTTAAATTGTGTGCGCGTGTGTGCATGTGCATGTAAGTGCAGTGCCTGAGGAAGCCAGAAGAGGGCATATGCCTTGGAGCTGGAGTCATACACAATTGTGAACATGCTGACCTGGATGCTGGGAACTGAACTGGGTTCCTCAAGAAGAGACTTTTACACTCTAATCCCTGAGCCATCTCTCTACCTACATATAGGCTCATTTTTTTTTTTTTTAATTTATTTATTTACTATGTATACAGCATATATGACTGCAGTCCAGAAGAGGGCACCAGATCTCATTACAGATGGTTGTGAGCCACCATGTGGTTGCTGGGAATTGAACTCAGGACCTCTGGGAGAGCAGCCAGTGCTCTTAACCTCTGAGCCATCTCTCCAGCCCCATATAGGCTCATTTTTAAGGGTTATGTAGATTATACTGAACTTTCTTTGGAGTTCATTAAAAAGAGAATGCAGCCCAGCACACCTTTAATCTCAGCACTCAGGAGGCAGAGACAGGAGGAACTCTTGAGTTTGAGGCGAGCCTCTATATCGTGAGCTCCAGGACATCTAAGACTATATAGACACTGTCTTGTTGTTGTTTGTTTTGTTTTGTTTTTCGAGACAGGGTTTCTCTGTGTAGCTTTGTGCCTTTCCTGGAACTCACTCTGTAGCCCAGGATGGCCTTGAACTCACTGCCTCCTGAGTGCTGGGATTAAAGACGCGCGCCACCACCGCCCAGCTGACACTGTCTTAAAAAAAAAACAAAAATAAATAATTTAAGGCCTGCGAGATGGCTTGCCAGGTAAAGGCACTTGCCGCTCAAACCAAGCCATCTGAGTTCAGTCCAAGGAAGGTGGAAAGAGAAGCAAGCCCACAAACGTGCTGATTTCACAGGTCCGGGGACAGCATGTCATGTCTGTACTCCCCCTAACGTGTGCACATACCCGCACACACACTAAATACTTCAAAAAGGGAAGTTTGGAGAGTACATTTATGTCACCTGGGTTGTCCTGGAACTGAATCTAACAGTGGGATCTTTCATTGTGTGGGAAAGGCAAGGCTGGGCTTGTGACAGGTGTGCTGGGGTTGCCAGTCAAAGGGGTGAGAACGCCGGGTAGGAGACAGCTGATTGGGAGCTAGCTGTAGTACTGGGCTTCACTAAATCAAATTTGCTCTTTGGGTTAGATCTGTATAGTGGGAATAAAGCCTGCTTTCTGTATAGTGGAATTGTAGAGATGTTGAAAGAGAAATAAATATATTATGCTTTGTGAACATGGAGATGCTGTCTCTGGCTTCTCTTTTATCTTTATCTTTTTTTTTTTTAATTTTATGCTTTGTCTGCATATATGTGTGTGTGGCCCACATGTATGTCTGGTGCCCACAGGGGCCAGAAGAGGGCACAGTTACAGATGTTTGTGAGCACCCATATGGTGCTAGAATCAAAGCCAGGTCCTTTGGACGAGCAGCCAGTGCTCTTAACCACTGAGCCATCTTTCCAGCCTGTCTCTGGCTCTTAATAGTTCTGATGTTGATGATGGATTGGAATGTTTAAGGTGGAAAGTTAGGCAGTGAGGCACATGACTGTAATCTGGCCACAGGGAGGCAGATGCAACAGTTGAAGGCTAGCCTGGGTTATAGAATGAGAACCTATCTCACAAAAGACAGAAAGCAGACTGGAAGAAATGATGGGAAGTTGTGGACTCACTGCTTAGTAGCAGGGTACAATTCACTTGATACAAAGAATGTTCTGTGTTAGAGAATGAGAACCGTGGAGTCCAGAGAAAATGATTTGTTACACAGCTTTCTTAAGACAGTCTTACTGTGTACGTCTGGCTGTCCTGGAACTGGCAATGTATGCAAGGCTCACCCCAAATTCACAGATCCATTCTGAGTGCTGGGATTAACAGTGTGGGTCCCCATGTTTGGCTGATGTTAGTGGTCTATCTTGGTTTTTAGAGACAAGGGATCTTCCTGTGGCCCAGACTGTTGTATACTCTAGACCAGCCTTCAATACTCAGTGACCCCCCTGCTTCCCTCCCCTAATAATATGGGTGTAGTTTTTGGAACAAGGTAAATGAGCCACGGTTGTATAGATCATCTGTGGACTATATATAATCTGTAATATATGTATTTTATTTATTTTGAGAAATGTTTTGGGGTTTTGTTAAGAGTTTGAGACAAAGACCAGTCTGTAGCCCAGGCTTGTGTAGAACACATTATGTACCTTCAACTTGAGGTAATCTTCCCTGCCTTACAAAAACAACAAACAAAAGAGAATTTGGGGGTTTGCTTGGGCTTTTGTTTGATTTTTTTTTTTTTTTTTTTTTTTTTTTTTTGGGAGACAGAGTCTCATTTACCTAGACTGACTTGTAGTCTTCATGGATCTGAGTATGACCTTGAACTTTTGCATGGACCTAAGTGTTGGGATCCTAGGTGTGTGCCACCATACCTGGGGGATGTCTACTTAGAACTAATAACTTTTAGTGTTTAACCTGAAATTTAAGTGAAACAGTTGTTTTTGTATTGTGCCATCAAAGAACACTTGGATGCTACTTTGGTTTCTTGCAACTGATTTGTGCCTTTGTGGTAAGTCAACAGCAATTGTATTCATTGTTCTTTTTCTGTTGTTTGTTGGTTTTTCAAGACAGGGTTTCTCTGTGTAACAGCCCTGGCTGTCCTGGAACTTACTTTGTAGAGCAGGTTGGCCTGGAGCTCTCAGAAATCCCCCTGCCTCTGCCTCCTGGGATTAAAGGTGTGCGCTGCTGCCACCACCACCCAACTTCATTGTTCTTTTTAAAACTTTTTCAAAATTGCATTCACAATTTGTATGTGTGTCTGGGCACACGCATGCTGCTGTGAGAGGACAATGTCTGGGAATTATTTCTCCTTCATGTAGTCCCTGTATCAAATCCAGCTGTCAAGCTTGGTGCTAAGTGCTTCATAGGCTGAATCATCCTGCCAGCACCAACCTTAAGTCACATTCGTGCGTGCGTGCGTGCGTGTGTTCGTGTTGTGTTTATTGTCTGGAGGTCAGAGGACAACTTGCAGAAACCTGTGCTTTTCTACCGTGTGCGTCCAGGGGATGGACCTGGAGAGGCAGGCTCGGCAGCAAGTGCGTTTACCCACTGAGCGTCATGCTTTGCCCTTACTGTTCTTTTTTATTAGCAATGTAAATGACATTCCCATAACAAAGAGCGATTACTTCCAATATTATTTTAAAACTAGTTTGGGTCTCAGAGAACCTCTGGCGGCAGACTTTGAGCACCACAGATGTAATGTGTGCTCACAGTGGTGGGACTATTTTCCTTCTAGCTAGGCTGAGCACACAGCTTCCTCAAATTTTAAGTGGCTTCCAGATGCCTCACTCAGAAAAGCACCTTGTTAGGAACATTGAATAAGATGCTTAATTGTCTTCTCCAAGAAAAGGTGTTGGGAACTGGGAGAAGGAAAAACAGCTTTTAAATTTTTTTTATTGCATTCACTTAAGGTAAAGAGTTACACCTTAGAATTCCATAAAGAGAACTGTTAAAGGTGACATGCCTCCACCAAGGTAACTGAACGTAGGGCCTCAGTCCTCTCCCAGGAGGCTCTTTCCTCCTAGGCTACAATCCAGACATGGTCTTGTTACTTAGTTAAAACTGTCTCTGAATTCATCATGCAGTCTATAGAGACTCAGTGCCATCCTCCTGCCTCTGTCTCCTGGTTGCTTTGATTACCACGTCCGGCTTTATTTTTTAATCTTTGCCTTTTTTACTTCCTTATTTCATATTTACAGACATAAAGCCTTGATCCACTGTAGCATATACTATACATTTATTTCTTAAATTAAAAATGTCTTTACCAGCCTTAGCCTTGTCTTGGGTGTTCTAACACTTTATCTTATTTGGAGGGATCCTTCCCTGAAAGGTTTGTCAGGACAGTGTGCCCAGGAAGCTTGCCTACCTTGCAAGCCAGTCTTTCCTTTCTGTTTCAGAATGGACTTCATCCTTCTCGGAAGTCCTTAGGACCACTGCCACCTCGATCTGATTTATTTCCCAGGCCCCATTTGGGAGCAACAACGATCTTTTCCCTCTCCCGTTGAAGAGGACTTTCATAAAACAGCTGAATCCCGCCTGGGTCGTCAGTGGTAAAAGTCCACACGTGTGTGCTTGTCTGGGCGCCAAGAGTAACTTTTGCAAACGCTGCCCCGGGGAAACTCCATGGTTCGCCGGCTGCCGCTGCACCGTAAAGAAAACAACAAAACCAAAAAACAAGCAGGAGTGGAAAAGGCCTCTTTGGAGCGGTGAGACATATTAAAGGTAAGCCGCAGAGTAAGCGGAACTCGCGCAAATTTCCTTTACGGATCCGGGGAGACGCAGGCCTGGGAAGAAGGAGTGGTGCTCCGAGAGTGTCTGGCCCTTTAAGGAGGAGGGCCAGACACTAGTCTCTGCACCTTTAAGAGTCTCTTTGTCTAGAAATCTTCTGTACCCTCTTGTGCCTCAACCAAACTTTGCCTGCGACTCCCGCGCCACTCCGCGCCTGCCCTCTCACGCCGGCCGGCCACCCGCGCCTTCACGGCTGCCCCGAAACTTGGTGCCCGCGGCCCGAACCCGCGGAGAGGGCGCTGAGGCCAGGGGTCGCGGCCGCGAGGCGCGCCGTTGGCGCAATGCGGGGCCCTGGGGGCGGGGCTCTGGCAGGCGGGCCAATGGGCGGCAGGGGGCGGGGCCTGCTCGCTTGTCTCGCGCCCTGGTGACAGCTCGCGCGTGCTGATGATGGCGGTAAATAGAGGGGGGGTGGGGAGGGGGCGGAGGGCCGGCGGAGCGGCCGAGGGGGCGGCCCGGGGGGCGTGGGGGGCCGCGGCGGCTGGGAGCCCGCGCAGACATTCGGAGGCGGGGACACGCGGCCCCGGCATGCCGGCCCTCCCCTTTTAAAGGAGAGGGAAAAAAAAAAAACCCTCAAACACCGGGTGAGGGGCGACAAAGGCGGCGCGCGCCTGGCGGGCGGGAGGAGCGGCGGCAGGGGGCGGGACCGCGACGCCGGCGGTCCTGGGGCGCCCGGGGCGGGGACGACGGGCGGCGACAGCGAAGGCGCGAGCCCCGGCGCGCGGGCGCTGCGTTTTGGCGGGGTGGGCGACGTCTGGGTTCTGAGGTGAAAGCCTTGAGGGGAGAGAGGGGCAGGCAGGCTGCGGGGGGAGCGGTCGCGGAGTGTGAGATGAGGAGGATTAGGAGAAAGGGTTAGAAGCCGGGGAGAGGAGTGGGAAAGAAACCCAGGCTGGCTCCGGGATGAGGTTAGGAAGCCCCGGGCTGGGAAGAGGGATCCGGGGTCAGGGCTGGGAGCAGGGGTCTGGAAGAGGCAAGGCTTGGCAGGTGGGTGGTGGTGGGGTGAGGGTACCAAGGGCAGAAGAGTTGCAAGGGGAAGACAAGGAGCAGAACCGGTAATAGTTGGGAGTAGGGGAGAGAGAGTGATTAAGAGCCAGACGTGACAAGGGTGTGAACTAGTGCGGAGCCAGGGATGAGCTGAAGGGCTGGGATCGGCTGGGGTGGGATCGACAAGGCGTGGGTCAATAGCTGGGTGGTGGGTGTGAATTCTGCAAAGTGAGGGAGGCAGAAGGGACCTGGATTACAACCAGGTGGAGTCAGAAATTGGAGCGTTAGTGAAAAGGAAAGCTTGCGTAGAGCTGGGCGTTAAGAGGACAGTTCTGGGAGAAAAAGAAAAAGCTGAAGGGACGCTAGAAGAAGCAAGGCTTAAGGAGTGATGGTGCTCTGGGACAGGGAGGCTGGGGAATTGTGGATGGAAGAGGGAGGTTCAGCAAGGTACAGATAGGGGCGTGCAGGGACCGCCGAAAAGCAGCCCGAGAAGATGAGCAAGGAAGAGGTGGGCCCTGGGATTTAGAGGATGGAGTGGGGAGTAAGGGAAGAGGAACAAGGCTAAGGGGAGCTGGGAGAGCCTGATGGGGAGAACAGGGGTGGGCTGCACAGCTGTGGGGACTGAATGTGCGTTCTGCCCTGAGGCGCCCCAGAAGGTCTGGAAGGGGCAGGGCACAAACGCTGTAGTGAAGAACCCAGTGTGGGGGCCTTTGGTGAAGAAGATAAGGAACCATGGTGAGTGAAAGGGGCCCTAGAAACCAGGGTAAAACCTGAAAAGTAGGGGCCCAGGTGGGGTGCAGCAAAGGAGTTCTTTGTTAAGAGAAATGTGGGTTGAATTTGTGAGTCCTTTTGTCCCTAAAAGTAGGAAATCCCAGAAACCTTGTTCTCTCTTCGAGGAGTCTTGGAGCGGGTTTCCATCTTTCGTTGCTTGAAAATCCACTTTCATGTCCACTTTGAAAAGATGAGACCCATTGTGGTTGGATTTTGTTCTTGTGTAATAGAAAAAGTGGCAGCCTTAGGTGCTTAAAACCCTTTTGATTTCACCAACGTGATAATAGGTAAAAGTGTTTGTTTACACTGTGCTTGTGTTCTGCGATAGTTTGGGTGGGTGGTGTAGTAGTTTTGTGCCTGACAAGTGCTGGCAGGGCACCTCACCGACAGCATTTTCTTTTCCGTTGAAGAGTGCACCATTGGGCTAGAGAAGGATAAGACCCTTCTTGTTTTCGTTGATCAGCCAGATCTCTGCCTAGCTGTTTTCAGAGACTGAAGAATGAGGATAACTCATTCAGAGAAAGGTGAATAACCAACCGGGGAAGTTTACTGAGGGGGAGATTGAAGTCAGGGCTCTGAGGGCCTTGAGTTCCTAAGCGGCTTTCAGCTTTGTGGGGGACGTTTTTGTGGAGTTGCTTACTCCCCAGTTTTGCAGACTGTAAAAAAGGAAGGTGGAGTGGAGAGTTGTGGAGAGTCTTAGAGCTGTGGACTTATCTTTTAGATTATATAATGAATTTATGAGTACCTTTTATGAAAAGAAAATTCTGTAAGATAAGATTGTAGTCCTTCTGCCTGCTATATTTTATGATTGTGAATAGGAAGGACATATTAATATTCTTTAGAACCTTTTGATTTGTAATACTTCTTTTTAATTAAAATATTTACATTTACTTAATTGTATGTATGTAGAGCACATGTGGAGGTCGGAGACAACTTGCGGAAGGTGGTTCTCTCTTTCCATCATGGGGCTGCTGGGGATCGAACTCAGATTGTCAGGCTTGGCGGCAAGCTCCTTTACCCAATAAGCCATCTCCCTGGCCCTGTAAGACTGATTTGGAGATTAAAAGGAAGATTAGAATTTGGGGACAGAATTTAGTTTATTCTTTCTTGGTAGTGTTTTAATGATTTTCATTATAAAGTATTTATGTTTAGCTAAAAGTATTGATGAGTATTTACTTTGCATTTGATAATGTGAAAGTAATGTATAATTCTCTTTCGTGGGGACAGAGGGTACAAACTATTCTTGAGAATCTTTTTTAAGATTAAATTAAAATTTAATTTTTATGTGTATGGGTGCTTTGTAGGCATGCATATATGCCTGTATACCACATGCATGCCTGGTGCCTGCAGAGGGGCACTGCAGAAGAGGGAATCAGAGCCTCAGGAACTGGAGTTACAGGCAGTTGGGAGCTGTGTGTGGGTTCTAGAAATCTAACCTGGGTCTTCAGGGGAGAGCATTCAGTGCTCACCCGCTGAGCATCTTTCTCGTCGAGATTATTTCATTGTGTGCATTCAGATACACAATGATACCTTTTCTCCTTGAAGTCCGGTAGAGGTTGCAAGTGTCGCTGATGGTGCAGCACTTGTCTAGCATGTGCAGGGCCTTGCGTTGGTCCTAGCACTGCGAGCTAGACAGCAGACTTCAGCAACCCTAGTCTAGGGACTTGGGGTGTAGCTCAGCTGGCAGAGTGCTCGCCCAGCATTCCTGAAGGCATGGGTTTGATCGCCTGGCACTCTATGGTAGTGCATGCCTGTCATCCTAAGCACTCCAAGGCAGAAGGGTCAGCCTTGCCTACGTGAGTGAGTAGGAGGCCAGTGTGGGTGACATGAGACTCTGTCACAAACAAACAAACAAACATAAGGAGAAGCAAATACCCATCTCTGGGATTAGTGCTCTCTCTAAAAAGCAAAGCCTAGCCCTCTTTTCCAAAGTTGTGTGATTTTACATTGCTCTTATTTGGTGTTTGTTTGCATAAGTAGCAAAACTTAGGTTTCTGGCAAAGTTTGCTTTTGATTTGTGGATGTCAGAAACACACACACACACACACACACACACACACACACACATTTGGATAATTTAGAATCTGAACTCTGGGTTAACTTTTAACTGCTGGGGCAAGCTTATCGTTCAATGGTTTATTTTCTGGATTCTTCTAGGCAGATTCAAGGTAGGTAGATTTATTTACCAACTTATAGAAAAATTTAATTACAAAGTTTTGCTTCTTAATTTGAGATTAGTCTAGAAATAATAACTTTGGAAATGAAGAGTGACTTTAATATGAGATGCCTGTTTCTGCAAGGTATGTGCACATGCCTCTGTAGCTGTGTTTGGCTGGCTGTACTCTGATTAAGATAGTGGCGTTTTTATGATGCTGTTGTCAAAAAGCGATCTGTTTATCTGCCTGCCTGAAAACACAAGCTACAAGCTCAGTCACAGGAAGGAGCTTAGTTGAGTCTTTATGTTGTTTCCGTTACACTGCTGTAGTGTGCTGAGCCACTGTTGTTGTGAATGGTTGTTTCACAACATCTCCTCTCTCCCTTTTTCTTTCCTCCTTCCTTCACCCTCCTTCCTTTCTTTTTCTTCCTCTGTGCTGGTAGTGAACTCCAGAGCATCACACATGCTGGCCACACTCTCAGTCCTCAGTTCATATTTCCAAAACTGAAAATGGATGATCTTTTCTGTTTTTGAGACACTGATCTCAATATGTAGCCCTGGCTGGCCTGGAACTTGCTGTGTCGTCCAGGTTGGCCTTTAACTCACAGAGATAGGCCTGCCTCTGCTGCTGTTATGCTGGAATTAAAGCAGTGGGTCACTATGCCTGGCTGAAAATGGATGATCTTTTAATATAGACGCTATTACTTATCATAAGGACTCCAATGTTAAATTTAAGCTGTGATTTCTTTTGTTCTCTAAGTAGAAATGTTTTGTGTTGAGACGGGGTCTCACTGTATATCCCTGGCTAGCTAGCCTGGAACTTAATAGACAGACCAGGCTGGCATGAACTCATAGAGACCCACCTTCTGCTTCTCCTGTGCTGGGAGTAAAGGTGAGCTTTACCACACCTGATTTGTCTCTAGTTTTTTGGTTTTGTTTTGAGATCCGACCTCACCCTGTTGAAACTGACTGTGTAGTCTCACCTAGCCTTAGAGTCATGGCGATCCTCCTGCCTAGCCTTAGGGCCAGGACTGTAGGCACTGGCTGCCATACCCAGCTCTCAGTGGAACATCACTTTTATTTTGCTTATTGTCTTATTTGCTAAGAATAAAACGTATTTATATTTTTAGATTTGGATGAGTAGGTTGTACATAATTAAAATTTTTTTTTTTCTGGTTAATCTTAGAGTCTTTGGATGGGAAGACACCTTGAAAGGACCTTGGGTTTATCCTGCAACTTCAGTCAATATCCCACCTAAATCATCCCAGGTAGATCAAAACACCCCATTTTCTTATAAATCTTCAGTGGCAGGAGATCAACCTTGTAGGTAATCTCTTCTAGCATTTTATTATTATTATCAGGAAGTCTTTTTTTCTAATCAGCACACATTTAATGCTATATTTGTATTTATTTATTCTTGCCTTATCGTCAATTTTTTACTAGAAAAAAATATCTGCTTATTATGGTGTTTATAAAAGCTCTAGCTGGTGTGGTAAGCCATGACTGTAATTCTAGCATTCAGGAGGTTGAGGCAGGAGGATTTCTAGGAGTTTCAAGCCTAGTCTAGACTATGTAGTAAGTTCCAGGCCAATCTGAGCTGTAAGGTGAGACCTTGTCTCAAAAACAAATAAGCAAACAAACAAACAAAAAATGAAAACCTTACTTATTCCCTGGTACCAGAAGGTATCAATGAAATGCATGACCCTTGTTCCAGATTCTGTTGGAAGTCAATGCCTCACAGTGATCCTAAAGCAAGATCTACTGTATTGAAATAAAGTGTCTTTTGAGATGAAGTGACTTGCCTATATCTATAAAGATGTACTTGGTCGTTAATAGTCTCTCAGCACAAATACTGTTTTTGTCAATTGTTAACTCAAGGATACATTTACTCTTTTATTTTTGATGATGGGGATTGTACCCACTGCTTCATGTACACTAAGCTTGTGTTCTACCGCTGATACCTCTCGGCTCCTCACTCTCGTGTGTGCACATGTACGTGTGCAGGTGGAAGTGTATGTTCTTCGTGTTCACTCATTCCCCACCTCTTTCTGGGACAAGGTCTCTCTAAATCCGGACTTCCCGACTAGGCTGGGCTGGCCAGTCAGGAAGCCCCAGAGTCTGTCATTTCTGCTTCCCTAGTCCTAGAGTTACAGACAGTGTTACCCTGTCTGGCTTTTTATGTGGGTACTAGGGATCTAAACTGTGAGATTAGGCCTCTTAGGGGCTTTGCCAGTCTTTAAATGCTCTGTGGTCTGTTTTGAAACAAGTCTCATTCTTTTGTTTTTGTTTTTGTTTTTTTTTTTTGTTTTTTGTTTTTTTTTTTTGGTTTTTCGAGACAGGGTTTCTCTGTGTAGCTTTGCGCCTTTCCTGGAACTCACTTGGTAGTCCAGGCTGGCCTCGAACTCACAGAGATCCGCCTGGCTCTGCCTCCCGAGTGCTGGGATTAAAGGCGTGCGCCACCACCGCCCGGCTTGTTTTTGTTTTTGAGATGGGGTTTCATATGGTTTAGATTGGCCTAGAATCTGAAACTGTCTATGTATGGAAAAGGATGACCTTTAATTCTTTTGTTGTTGTTGTGTTGTTGTTTGTTTTTCCAGACAGGGTTTCTCTGTGTAGCCCTGGTTGTCCTGCCACTCTCTAGACCAGGCTGGTGTCAGAGACCCACCTGCCTCTGCCTCCCACCAGGATTGAAGGCCTGTGCCATCACCCATGGCTGACCTGGAATTCTTAGCCTCCTGCACTTACCTCGGTTCTGGGTTCCAGGTGCCTGCCGCCATATGCCACCCTCTGCTTCTTGTGGTGAACCTAGGACCACAAGGGTGCCATCTCATATGCATATGGCATCAAAGTTCTCCCGTGCTTTTTCTTAAATTTTATTCCAAGATTGTTCTTACAAAACCAACAACCCCAAACCAATTTTATAGCACCTTACTGTGTTGCAAATTGCCTGTCTACTTTTGAAGTTGGAAAAATATTTTTCACTCAGTTGAAAGATTATTGCTGTTTGAGGAAAAAATGGAAGTTATGCTTCAGCACAGATATCCATAAGTAAAAATCTGTTCAGAACATTGCTATTTTACTTTTTTATTTTCTCTTTATGTATGCCTATCTAAAAAATGTACTAAATACTCTGCTTTTATTTGGTGAAATAAATCAATTTATTCGTTAAAATTAAAAACGTAGCTGGCCTGAACCCACAGGGATGGGCTCTCCCAGCCTTGCGCCTTCTGAGATTTAAGGTGTTTGCGTGTTTGCACTAGGGTCTGGTGTAGCTGTGCTTGCCTTGGACTTTTGAACCTCCTGCCTCCACCAAGTTCTGCAAGTGTAGGCCTGTGATACAGTCTAGGGGTCTTGAAAGGGTATGGTCCCCAGGTCTGGATTTGGTTCGTTTTCTCTGCCAGTTAAAGAATAACAGGACAGGAAAAATCTGAATCATGACAGGCAACACCAGAGAAATCTCAAGCACCACAGCTAGAATGACAGTTGAAAACCAGTCGTTTATTGGGGTAAGAGAACACATGCACCAGGCAAAGCAGAGGGGAACTCGGAGGCTGCTCTTTAGGGCTGGGATTTAAAGCCTTTGAGAGTTTTCCTCCCCTAACTTAGGGTGGCCAGTTTGAAGACAGGTAGGATGGTTGACTGCTCTGCAACTGTGTGTGACATGTTCTGATCTGGCCTTGGACTTGTTGAGTGCGTCCATCAGCAGGGCCTGCTGGTGGGAGACAAGTCTGAAGGGTGAGGAAGGAGCTGGCCATCTTGGAAACTTGACACCTTTATTACCTATCTATAACCTCTCTCCCTGTCTGTCTGTCTGTTTCTCAGGGAGTCTGTCTAACTCACTACCATGACCTGCAAAACTTTTTTTTTTGATGACTATGGGTTTTATTACAATTTTTTAATCTGGAGGAAAGTTACAGAAATGATACTCAAAATTGCTACTTGTTTTCACATCACCTGACTTGCTTTATATTTTCTAAGTATTTTTAAACAAATAAAATAGGAAAAGTTAATATGCACACATTTGTTTTAAAACAGAAAAGGGGGGATTTACTGATGAGGTGGCTCAGTGGTTAAGAGCACTTGGTGCTCATGCAGAGGATCCAGGTTTGGTCCTCAGCACCCACATGGCAGCTCACGATCGCCTATAACTCCAGTTCCAGGGGGTCCTATGACTTCTTATGGTCCAGCATCACCAGGCTTGCATGTGCTGATCGCATACACATACAGGCAAACACACTCATGCACATAAAAAATTAAAATAGAGGCCAGGTGTGGTGGCCCACACTGGAGGCAGAGGCAGGAAGATCTCTGAGTTTGAGACCAGCCTGCTCTATATAGTTCCAGGACAGCCAGGGCTACATAGAGAGACCCTATCTCAATAAATAAATTATTATCTTGGGGAAAAATGAAAGGGATTAAGTTTGGTATAAATTTTATTTTAGTCAAAGCCTTTAGGGCAAAGTAATGTCAAGATGGAATTTAGAAGTCAGAGGTATTGGTACAGGGCCTGGAATCACAGCACTCAGGTTGGGCCATAGGGTTACCATAAATTCCAGGCCAGCCTGGGCTATATTGTTTCTGTCCAGCTTGGGCTAACAGTGAGACCTTCTCTCAAGAAACCTAAGTAAATAAATATTAGGAGGACTTTGTAAGGTTATACAGTGTGCTTTCTTTAGTAGATGCTAGGAAAGATTCTGTGACCTGTGAATGACAGATGTGTAGGCCCCTGCTATTAACAAAAAAATTGTGTTGTCAAATTCTTTTCTGTTGAGAACTTCTTGGAACTCGCATCCTTAGGATGTGGTAGCTGCTAATATTGCATGATGATGATTGTGTGAGCATGCCATGAAATATTTGAGATGAAATTCCTACCTTGAAGATCTCTATGCAGCTTCAAGGAGCCAGAAAGGACCAATGTACACAAGGGTCTACTTCAGAAGTGTTGACCTGAATTCATGCAAATAGGTCTGCCTTACAGTGAGGTGATCCACAGAAATAGTAACATGGCCACCACCCCCAAACTGAAATGAACTGACCCCATCTCGTCTCCAGTCACTCTCCAGTGTTTAAGATGTTAAATGTGTGAATGGAGACAGGCCTGTCTAACTTAAGCCAGAAGGCTATTAGTTGCATCCTGACAAATGTGAAACACAGAACTTGTGGGCTTCATCTCCTTTTCTCCCTCCTCTTTAAGCTGTTATCAGAGCTATGAAATATAGCTCCTTATAAAAGCTGATTGTAATAATTAGAAACACTTTCCTTTCATAAGGACGAGAAAATTACAAATTATTTGGGAAGCATTGTTTCTAGTCATGTGTTATTGTTTCTGAGACATGGACAGTTTTTAAAGACTATAATACTATTCCTTTCCATTCACATGTTAATAGAAGTCTGGGAAGTAAGGGCTCCTCTGAAATGTTCAGGGCTGTTTGTATTATGTGTCAAGTTGTAAACAGCACTCTGTGACAGGTATTTTCTCTCTTTGTCTTCCTTTGAGCTAATTAGTAATTTACACTCTGGTAGCATCTCTCCAGTCTCGCTGTGTGAAATGCCTGCTGCTCCATGCCTTCCATGCAGTGGGGCTGACATGACTGGGGCAAATGTTGGCTAGCACATTAGAAGAATCAGGATAAAAATTAGTTTTTGCATGTTTTTGATAGGCTTTTGTCTGTGTCTCTCTCCCTTTCCACCATGCCCTCCTTAGATATAAGAATGTTAGGAACTTCTGGAACCCAGAGCTACTGCCCATGGTTCAGTTTGATATTTTGTGTGCTTTTTCCCATCCCCACCCCAGAGCTGTGGGATTTGGGGAGGATTAGCACAGCACTCTGCATAGTTTACTGCTCCCACCCCATTAGAAGAATAGCGAGCATCCAGCATTGTCCTTAGAAGCCACCCGGCGGTTCTGCTCTAGATGGGCAGTGACTCCTCAGTGGTGGGAGGGCAGCACCGTTGCTGGTGCCTTAGGAAGATGCTTTTATCTGCTGCTCAGCTCCCCAAAGGAAAGACAGTCTTGCTGTGGTATCAGCTTTTTCAAAAGGCAGCTGAGTGACCAAAATATAAATTACAGCTAAGTTTTAGCACATATCACATCAAGGTCCTGCTCTTTCCAGCCTCTTGCTCTCTTTCTTCGTTCAGTCTGACATGGAGAGTATGTGTAGGGTCACTTGTGTGTGTTCACTTGCACAGACCCGTGTGAGGGTGTGAAAGCAGCAAGAGCATTTGACTCAAAGTAGCCTGAAGGACCCCTTTATCTGTGAATGTGAAT